TTCGAACACAGTCTGGTCATGCTCAGTTAGGAAGTGACCGTAAAGGGTTTGTAAAGGATGAGAGGAGGGGTCCATCGATGAAGCCAAATTGTTTTACCTGTGGTAGTAACGGCCATCTGGCCAAACATTGCACAAAAAAGTCTAACTATACGACACCGGCCAAGAGGGTGATGAATTGTCAGATTAACCCCGGAATGCACAGCAAACAGCTCGGGTTGACAGAGGCCATGCGAGTAGAGAAATATTTTGAGAGGCCATATGTCAAGGTAAAAATTCAACCCGGTCCAGTGTGCGAGGCTCTGGTCGACAGCGGTGCTGAGGTATGTGGGATTTCACAGAAGTTATGCCAGGAGTTGAATCTACCCAGTTTGGGAACTGAAAGGATCAAGGGATGGAATGGACAGGTGGCTGAGGTGGATGCCACATGGGTAACGTTGACTCAGGGGGACAAGGCTGCTACCCCTGGCGTCCGGGTGTGGTGTGCCGTGGTGCCAAATGCTAGTGAACCACTAATTATTAATCCAGGAGTGGTAGAACAGTTAAAGTTGGTAACGCCTTATGTAGTACCTGCTGCAGGGGTATTATCTGCCAGTGGTTCATTGGTCAATTTAGGGACCTTTTACAATGTTGACGCCCCCCATGGGCAGTGTCAAGAGAGATACAATAAAATTCAGAACCGTGACGTTGATGACGAGAAAGATGATGAAGTTTGTGAATTTAATAATTGTAAAATAGATGGCAGCGCAATTACAAATAAAATTCAGAATCGTGACGTTGATGACGAGAAAGATGATGAAGTTTGTGAATTTAATAATTGTAAATTAGATGGCAGTGTAATTACAAATAAAATTCAGAACCGTGACGTTGATGACGAGAAAGATGATGAAGTTTGTGAAGTTAATAATTGTAAAATAGATGGCAGCATAATTACAAATAAAATTCAGAACCGTGACGTTGATGACGAGAAAGATGATGAAGTTTGTGAATTTAATAATTGTAAATTAGATGGCAGTGTAATTACAAATAAAATTCAGAATCGTGACGTTGATGACGAGAAAGATGATGAAGTTTGTGAATTTAATAATTGTAAAATAGATGACAGTGTAGTTGTAGATGGAGTTCCTAATCGAGATGTTGATGAGGAGAAAGACGATGAAGGTAGTGAAAAGAGTTGCAAGGTTATGATCAAGGATATAGGTAGAGCTGATATTAGTCAGGAGAAGAAGGATTCCGCAGTGAATAAAATTAATAAATATAAATTTGAACTTGGTGAAGTTGGTAGTTCCGGTATTGGGCTTGTGGACAGATCAAATGTTGTCGGTCGGGATGTAAACTATGTTGTGAGAGTGGCTGAAATGACAATCGACGGGGTGGATGA